ATCAGAGCCACCAAACTCTGATTAATGATAGGCTGGTATTCTCTTAAACGAGAATCCCTGCCACTTCCAACCACTAAAGCAACCACATCTATCTCTTACTTGCATGTATTCCTATAGCCTTCCTTTTCATTCCTGAAAGTAACAAATTTTCACATCCCTTTTTAATGATCCAATCCCTGTCTCTAAGATTTCTCCCAAGCTGGGCCAGGTGCCTTGGGTGCTTACTCCTTACTTCTAGCTTTTTATGTAACTCTCCTTTCATCATTTAAGTAGCTTCTGAAACCATCCCCTTTTTTTTGGTAACCATGTTATTGAGATATATTTTACATAACATACAATTCACTGGTTTTCAGTATATGCACAGATAAGTGAAACCACCAGCACACGTTCTAATCAATTTTAGAACATTCTCATCACACAGAAAGAACACCCATACCAATTACCAGTCACCACTAACAAATCTACTTTCTGTCTGTAGATTTGCCAATTCTGAACACTTTGTATAAATGAAATCATGTGATATGTGGTCTTTTATGACTGGCTTCTTTCACTTAGCATAATGCTTTCAAGGCTCATCCACACTGTAGCACACATCAGCACTCATTTCTCTGTATTGTTGAGTAATATTCCATTGTATGTATCGTATATAGCACACTTCATTTTATTTGAACATTTGGTTTGTTTTCATTTTTTTGGCTGTTCTGAACAATACTGCCATCAACATTCCTCTAGCAGCTTTGGGGTGGGCATGTATTTTCATTTATTTTGAGTATATATGTAGAAGTAGAATTGCTGGGTCATATGCTAACTATGTTTAACCTTCTGAGAAACTGCTAGACAGTTTCCAAAGACTGCACAATTTTTATATACCCACCAGCAGTAAAGGGTTCCAATTTCTCTATATGTACTTGTTATTATCTGGCTTTTTAAAAAATATATTTTGATTATTTTATTACAGTTGTCCCAATTTTCCCCCCTTTGCTTCCCTGCACCTGGTACCTCCCATTCCCTCCAGCAATCCCCCTGTTAGTTCATGTCCATGTGTCACGTATATAAGTCCTTAAAAAAAAAGAGATTTATTTATTTATTTATTTGAGAGAGGGGATGGGAAGGAGAAACATCAGTGTGTGGTTGCCTCTTCTGCGCCCCCTACTGGGGAATGTGGCCTGTAACCAAGGCATGTGCCCTGACTGGGGAACCCAATGGGTGACCCTTTGGTTTGAAGGCTGGTGCATATACGTACTTTAGCTATTTCATTTCCTGTACTGTTCTTAACATCCTCCTGTCTATTCTGTCCCTACCAATTTGCACTTCTTAATCCCTGCACCTTTCCCCCCATTCTCCTCCTTCCCGATCTCAACTGATAATCCTCCAAATGATCTCCAAATCTATGATTCTGTTTCTAGTTTGCTTGTTTGCTTAGTTTGTTTTTTTAGATTCAGTTGTTGATAGTTGTGAATTTATTGCCATTTTAATGTTCATAGTCTTTATCTTCTTTTTCTTACATAAGTCCCTTTAATATTTCATATAATAATGGCTTAGTGATGATGAACTCCTTTAGCTTTACCTTGTCTGGGAAGCACTTTATCTGTCCTTTCATTCTAAACAACAGCTTTGCTGGGTAGAGTAACCTAGGTTGCAGGTCCTTGCTTTTCATTACTTTGAATGCTTCTTGCTGATCCCTTCTTGCCTGCAAAGTTTCTTATGAGAAATCAGCTGACAGTCTTATGGGAACTCCTTTACAGGTAACTATCTCCTTTTCTCTTCCTGCTTTTAAGCAGGTAACTATCTCTTCTCTATCTTTACCCTTTGGCATTTTAATTATGATGTGTGTTGGTGTGGTCCTCTCAGTGTCAGCCTTGTTTGGGGCTCTCTGTGCATCTTGGCTTGTATGTCTATTTCCTTCACCAAATTAGGAAAGTTTTCTTTCATTTTTTTTTTCAAATAAGTTTTCAGTTTCTTCCTCTCTCTCTTCTTCTGGCACCTCTATGATTTGAATGTTGGTACATTTGAAGATGTTCCAGAAGCTCCTTAAACTAGCCTTGCTTTTTTGGATTTTTTTTCTTCTTTATGTTCTAAATCATTGATTTAGTTCTTGGCTTCATCCATTCCACTGTTGGTTCCCTATATATTTTTATTTATTTCACTTAGTGTAACCTTCATTTCTACCTGGGTCTTTTGTATGCTGTTGAAGTTCCGTGAGTTGCTTAGTAACCAGTATTTTGAACTCTGCATCTGTTAGATTGCTTGTCTCCATTTTGTTTTATTCTGTTTCTGGAGTTTTGTTCTTTCTTTAATTTGGGCCATATTTCTTTGTCTCCTCATTTTGGCAGCTTCCCTGTGTTTGTGTCTATGTATGAGGCAGAGCTGCTTTGACTTCCTGTGTTAGTAGTGTGGCCTGTTGCAGAAAAGGGTGCCAGTAGGTTGAATGAGGAGGAGCCTTAGGTAATGACCTGGGCAGAGCAACCTGTGTGGACCAGGTGGCTGGAGTTTCTGATATGGTGTTGCTGCTCTGTGGCTCCACGTGGAAGTGGGCTCAGAAAGGGGACAATGCTGCTGCTTGGCCACTGGAATTTTGTCTGGAAGGAAGCTGTCTTCAGGCACTCGCCCTGATGTCAGATACTTCAATTTCTTCCCGTTTGCTACTGGTGCCTTTCCAGCTGCCGCTCTCCATTGCTGGAGCCCAGAGTGATTGAGTCTGCGTAAGTCCTAAGTCTGTTGTGGGCTGTTTAAGAGGAGACTCCTGAGAATCCCACAGGTTCTTCTGCTGCTCCAACCCCCACTGATTTTTACAGCCAGAAGTTATGGGGACTTAGTTACCTGGCACTGGAATCCTGGACTGGGTGGTCTGGTGTGGGGATGGGATCCCTTGCTCCTGAGGTATCCCTCCTGATTTTCATTCACCTCCCGTAGGTATGGGACCATTTTTCCTCATCTCTGCATCTCTCTTTGTGTTCTCATCTCTGCCTCTCCTACCTGTCTGAATGAATGTGCCTTCTTTAATTCCTTGGTAGTCAGACTTCCATACAGCTTGATTTTCTGACAATTCTGGGTGATGGCTGTTTTGTAGTCTAGTTGTAGTCTTTGCTGTGGTTGTGCGAGGAGGCGGGCCATGTTCACCTATGCCTCCATCTTGACCCTTATTATCTGAGTTTTTAAATACAGCCACCCTAGTGGCCATGGAGTGGTATCTCATTGTGGCTTTGATTTGCATTTTCCTGATGGCTAATGCCGCTGAGTATCTTTTCATGTGCTTATTGGCCTTTGAACTTATTTTTTAACCTTTTCAATTTGATCATGCCTTGCCAAATATAAACTAAGCAACAGTAAAAAATAGTTAATCCCACTGCAATGAGGAGATGCTAAAATATCTATATTTTTGAATAGCATAGGATAATGTCCCTCTTCAAAAATCTTTTTATTTTTATAAAACAGAACAGTTATTCCTAAGGGTTTAATTAAAATGTTGCAGATCATTTGTTAGTAGGTCTTGTTTATTTCTTTAAAAAATGTTTATTATTATATTTTTGTCATTACCAGTTATCCATCCTGTCCTGTTTATTTCTATTAGTATCTATTTTGGGTTACAAGTAATCCTAACCCTGGTGTTTAGTATTCAACAACGTAAAGGACAGGCGGTTTGAAAAATACCATTGAAAAATTATTCTTCCCTCTCCCCAATAACTTTCAGCACAAATTCTTTTTAGGTAAAAAATTAATATTACAAGAAATAAATTTAAATGCCTGGAAAAAGTCTCCCAATCTCATAATTTTTTAAGTGCTGACTTCATAAAAAAGAATTTTTTTGCATATGATATATTTAAGCTGATAAGAACAGACACTACACTTGATCTTAGCCAAAAGGCCGAGAAACGATTGCATATGATATATTTAGATACTGGAGTTGTTTTGTTCTAGCAACACTGGATATATATAAGAAATCAGAGGAGGGAAAAATATTCACTTCTCTAACTTTAGCCTTAGTAGAAGCATAAACTCTAATTATTGGAAATGATACAGTTTATAGAAAGATGATTTTAAAAAATCCTTTTACAATGCAACTATGTAGTAAAATTTCAAGGTTGTTGTAGGTTATATTTCTTTTCGCTATTCTAGAAATTCTTTTAAAACCCTAAAACATCAAGACAAGTCCTTTCCTTTAGGTGTAACACACACACAATTTTACTGTTAAATTAAAATCAAATTTACCAGCTTAATATTGAGTGTTTTCCCTACACTTTAATTTTTATGTTCAAATATGAGATTCCCACACAGGCATTAAGATGTCTTTCAAATTAGTACTTAACCCCTTTGTATCTGTCTTTGATTAGCATTTCTTTGAGGTTACAGCACACAGACTCAATCAAGGGAATTCATGTCTTTTGTCACAGCCAAATATGCTCTGGTAGCCTCTACATAAGTAACAGGTTTAACCAGCCTTCATAGGTCAGTTTTAAATGTGTTGGGCAATCAAAACCACCAGTCTCCAGTAGCCACGTCAGCAAAGACGCAACCACATGAACCAAGATCTTCACTACAAACTCACTCCTTAGATATGCCACATGTCAGAAGAGAAATAACTCAAATTCACCTGGAAAATTAAAAAAAATATGCCTATAGAAAATACATTTCCCCAAATAAAAATGCTTAGAAACACCAATAAAACGATAAATGGAACAAATAAATCCCTTGCACATTAATAGAATCTCTCAGAGGAGATGAAGGGGCTGGTGAAGATGTGTAATATGATAGAGGAACTTAAAAAACAAAACAGAATACTAACCGAAACTAAGGGATTTTGAACTCTTCAGAAAAGGAATAAAAATCTTCTGATTGTTAAAATCATTTACCTTGAGACAGAAGGCCAGACCAGATGACCTTTCAAAATCCCTCAACAGAATTTCATACATTTATGATAACCGTCTTATTTAGAGAGACTGCACCGTTATAAGCAATTTACTGGAGAAACTCTGTGTAGATGTTCCTTGTGTTATTTTTACCTGAGGAGGAGCCTTTTTCAGTAGCACAAGAAGAGCCTGTAGTACCAGATTAGAAAATCGAGGGCCAATAGGGACATAATCTGGAAGAGAAACACTATGTTTAGGGATTTGATACAGAAATGCACATATTCCAAACATTCAGATTTTTCTACAGGAGCAAACATAGTTCTAAAAACAGTCATGCAACTAATGATAATAAGAAAAAACTTCAATAATTTCAATGCATAAAATTATACAAGAACTCTTATCTGTACATTTTTTTTAAAAAAGCCTCCAAATATACATTTTGGGTTCATATTCTGAGACAGTTTTTTAAAGAAGGAAAAACCTAGATATATTCACTAAACATTCCCCAGAGATCACTACAAACTATGGCAATACATTTCCCCAAGTACACAGGCAACAAAACACCACACTAGAAAACGGCTAGAAGGAAAAATGGCAAGTAACAGTAACGTAAGAAAGGTACTCCAATGCAACTAAAAAGATGTAAGAGCCACTGAGATTCATCCTCAGATGGTGAAGAACAAAGAACCTTCCGAAAGAACTTCCCACCTGTTAGAAGTCTAGCAGTCCTTTAAGATTTTGCACAAATGCCACCTCCTGAACTTCCCCTGCACACTGCAGATGCACCCCTGCCCTGTGCTTACAGCTTCCTTCAGGCAACAGCCCTCTGAAGTCAAAGGTGATCCTTCCCTTTTCTGATTATCCAGAACAGTGGTACATTCTACATGGCACTAATTTTGCCAATATATGTTATAATGACAGATAGCATCTTATTTTTCTGAGACCTAGTAATTCTAGCACAGTAAGGACTCAGCAAATGCTTGTTGAATAAATGAACAAACAAGAGCAGATAGTAACTACATACGAGTGAAAATATACTCAGAGGGCACACATTCCTGACATAGTAGTGTTGCTATGACCACACATCTCAATTGTGTTTAGATAAAGGAATTTACACAGAGCTATGAGTATGTGCCTAAAAGCTTTTAAAGAAATAATCCTACAAACCGGGCTGAAATGTGTCAAAAATAGCAGACCAAAATCCCAGGTCACTAGATAAAACTATCAATTTAAAAAGACCTCACAGATACACCTGCTTTGCTTTATAACAAATATTGCCTTAGGAAACAAATAAACAAAAATAACAGGACCTACCTAAAGCAAGTCTGAAAATCATAGTCAGACAGTTAACTTGAGATGTTAAGCTACACCATTATGGACAGTTATAGGAAGAAGGGATTAATCAGGTATTAGACAGTATTTTCAGAGGTTTATTAGGTTACAAGGTGGGTTCAACTTCAACAGAGTTTATTACAACATCCTGAGCCACTGTTATAATAATAAGTTTATTCCAGATTATCTAGTTTTTGCAATGGAACAAATGTAAGCCCTGGGGGCTGGCATGGTTCAGTAGATTGAGTGCTGGCCTGCAAACCAGAAGGTTGCTGGTTCAATTCCCAGCCGGGGCACATGCCTGGGTTGTGGGCCAGGCCCCCAGGCAGGGTGTGTGAGAGACCCCGATAGACGGTCTCCCTCTCTTTCTCCCTCCCTTCCCCTCTAAATAAATAAATAAAATCTTTAAGATGTGAAAGTAATACTTTTCTGGACTTTATTTGTAATTACCCTGTAGGAGCTCAGTGCAGGGACTGTCTCATTCATCTCTGTACTCTGCAGTAGTGCACTTAAACCCAGGAGATGTTTAATAAATACTTTTTAAGAATTACTATAGCGCACTTTTAACTTTCACAGTGTCTCCTACGTTATCAGCCCATTTCAGTCTTCACAATTATTCTATGAAAGAAGTGAGGAAAGGACGCAGTCTCTGCTTTACATGAGCAGAAACCGAGGTAACGCAGAGCTTGCGGCTTCTGCCGCAGCTGTTATCTCCTGGCAGTTGTAAGCCCTCCTTTCACCAGTTCTGTCAAAGTTCCTAAGTGGAGCCTCTGAGCAACAGGCAATACATGTATCCACCAACAAAAGTTACCGATCATTTATTATGGGCAGGGAACTCTGTAGAAGGTACAAAATATGATGAGGCAGGAGTCCTTACAGGAAAGCAGTTCATAATGAAGTTGTGATCATAGGCATACGTAACGTGGACACCATCACTGACTAGAGAGGGAAAAGATGTTATATTTCCTCATCAGACAAAGAAGGGTATTTGTGTTGTCTTATAGTTTATAAATGCCTGTTATTTTTCTCTTATGATTTGTGCAACACCGGCTATAATGTAGCGGAGACGGTACAATGGCAAACATTATGACTCACCAAGCAGCCTCTCGATGTCATCCACAACTACGCAACTGAGCTGGGATTTGTATGCGTCGTCAAAGATCTGGAAGAAAGCAAAACCATTTGTTATCTCACTGTTCTCCGTAATTATGGCAACTTCCAAGAAGATAAAATTTAGTTAACTGTTGAGCAATGCCTAAACAATGCACAGTAAAACACCAATATTTCAGACTACACTAAATTAGAATTTAAAAGATAATAGGATTTTAGAATGAAAATAGTTCTTGCAATTGAAGAATGAAAAATGGAGGTACAAGGCAGTTAAATGACTTGCCCAAGGTGATACAGGGGGTCAGAGCCATGTCATATAGCTGGGATGCTGAGAACAGACAAATTCTGTCAAGTGTGTCACGAAGGTTTCTCCTATTTCAAGGAGCACGACTTAAGTAAGCGTTGTGGCTCAAGAGCCAGATAAAGCCACAAGGGATATGCAAATGAAACTGGGTGCCATTTTACTATCTGTAAGCACTGTGGCCCTATCAGGCAGGAACAACACTGAAAGAACAGAAGCTTGTCAACTGAAACCAGACCATAACGGTCAAAGTGTTCACAAAAGAACTAAAGCTGAGTGTAAAGGATCAGACAGGTCTGGTTCTATCTTTACAACCAGACGAAGACACTGTAAAGACAATTGTCTTAGGAGCACCTTAGACCGGCCTTCTTGTAACTCTGGGGGTTCCTTTTCCAGCAACTATGACTGAAGCTCAGTGCATCCTGTGGGTGCCATCTGTCAGAATTAACTCCTGCATCCCAGCCCAACCTCTCTGGTTGTTAAATAACCTCAGTGCACCAAGGAGGACTAACCCCCTCCCCACGATTTTGCTGGGGGAGGTACAATATTCCTTAGTAGGTATCTTTTAACTATACAAGATAAAAAATTAGGTATGGAAATAAACTAAATCAACCTGTAATATTAATATTTTTCATACTAAGTTTAAAGACAACCTGTGTACACTTGGTCTTTAATGTATTTGTAACAATTAAGAAAATTTACCATATTAGATTACTAGATTAGCCTTGTTAGTTCAATTTAAAATATGCAATTGAATAATTAATTTTACATTGGAAGGTAAAAGATGGCCCGGTTGAAGTTCCGAGGAAAGCGAAATTTTTATTTGAGCGAAAAAAAATCCAAATGGGGACCCCGTCAAAGATAATTTTAATAGCCTTGCAAATGGTAAAGATAATCTAAGATTAACCATATTATTTATTAATTTATTATTAAATAAATGTAATTATATCCTTTAAAATTAGAATGATTTTTGTTAGACAAAAAACTGATGTACTTCAAAGAGAAAATATTTTAAATGTGGAAACAGGGTTTAAGATATTTTAAAAAATTATATTAAATTGTAAAAGTCCCCTTTTAAGTAATTGCTAAATTTTTCTAGACTTACAGAGTAAGAGATGTAGACTTTTTTAAAGGTAGTTTACTTTTGTTTGAAAAACTAAGTCTTCCATAATTTTGATATGTTGAATTTTAATTTCTTTAGACCTTAAATCAGCTATATGGTCTTTTCTATACTCAAAAGTCACCTTTAAAGACTCAAAAAAAAACCCCAAAACAAAAAAACAAACGCCCGTTGACAATCTGACGGGAAACCCCTCCCCAGCGGAACTGATCCGGAACTGATCCACGCGGGCTGCGGGCATCCGAGGAAGGGCAGGAAGGGAGGGCCCGGCCGCTCTCCTCCGCACCATCCCGTCAGCCCTCAGTCACTCGCCCACACTGTGTCACACAGCCCCATCCACCCTTTGGTCCTTAGCTATCTGCCTCCCCACTGTGAGGGAGATATAAATGATAAAATGTATCATTTTCTGGAAGGAGCTTTAAGCGTCACTGCTTGATTCTCCAATACCTGGAACAGCAATACTTACTAATGATATTGGCTCAATATCACTAGTACTATAACTATACAAGATAAAAGTAACTGAGACCCGGAAAGAGCAACACGGGGCCTGCGCGCCTGGGCGAGACTGAAGCAGCCGGGGACGTGGCGGGGACGTGGTGGGGACGGGGTGGGGTTAGGGTTAGACGTCAGTGGCTGAAACAACACACGTTCTGAATCCATCCTGCCGTAAGTCACGTGTCTCTCTTCTCCTCTGGTAGCCTTTTGTGTACATACAGTGTATATATTGTAGGTTCACTGTACCTTTCCCTGTATTAGACTAGACTGTGAATCTCGGGCGGCAAGTACTCTTAATGACCTTTGTGTCCTCAACATCACTTAATGCAACACCTTACCAGATAATAACCAGTGAATATTCACTGACAGAATAAATTTAAATTCGAGTAGGAATGTCAAGTACGCAGTTGGAGAGGCACGCGTGAAGTCAGGGTAGGACAGCACCCCGGGCCCGCTGGTTAAAACCAGGAGAAGGGATGAGCTCTTCAGGGAGAAGCGGTGAATCCAGGAGAACAAAGGGCTAAGGGCTGAATCTTGGGTCATTTATTCATTCAACAAATATTTTTTGTGTGTCAAACATTAATGAAGGTAATAAAGAGAGTAATGAATAAGAGAGTAGGATCCCACCTTCACAAAACTTAGAGTGGGGGAAGCAGGTCACATGTGCCCATGACAAGCATGACATTATTCTGCGAGAGGAAATGAATTCGAGATGATACAGTGGTACAGAGTGAGCGAGGTGTGGTGGTCGTAGGCGGTTCCCACGTACAGCCTGGTTCTCCTCCTGGCACGAGGTTGGACTGTACTTCTTCACCCTCTCTCAAGAATGATTGCGGGGCTTGCTCTGGTTAATGAAATGTGAGTGGAAATCGTTTTTTGGAAGGAGGTTTAAGAGTCACTGCCTGATTCCTCCATACTCCCTTTCTCCTGCCTGGCTCTCACGGAATCGCACGTGAGATGCAGCCTCTGCTATGACAGGCATGAACCATGAGCAAGAAATAAACACTCTTGGGTGAAGCTACTGAAATTTTGGGGTTGTTCATTATTGCAGCACAACTTGGCTTATTCTGACTGATACGAGGATTATGGAGTCAACGCTGTGCTCCTAAATTTAGGAAATGACGTTTAAGTGGAGACCCGAAAGACGGGCTACCAGTGGAAAACAGGGAAGAAAGTGTTCTAAACAGAGCGTACTGAATATGGGAAGGTTCGGTGGTGAGAAAATTCGGGAGCGCCGCGGGGACTGGCACAGAGATGACGCATCAAGGGAAGGGGTGTCAGTGTTGGGGTGGCGTGTGGTGGGGTGGTGGGCTAGAGACAAGCAGAAGAGAAATGGGAGAGACCATGGAAAAGCTTAAAGCAGTTCCCCGGGGGCTCTCTGCTGTTTTTTGAAGACTGAACCAATATAGCAGCCAATATGGTGTCTTATAAATACAGGTGATTTCAAGAAGTCACTGAAAATAATGCTTTGTTCTTTCAAGTGTTTTTCAGAATTTTTCTAAAAGCTCTGATGCAAGAATAGAATTCTGTCAAGCTATAAGATCATGGATTAGTGCCATGGGGGCCCAAGGACAATACATTTCTATATTTCCCCCAAATCGGCCCTTCTCCTTTCTCAAAAACAATGCAGAGTTTACATGGCGACGGGGACCTTACTAATAACATTGCTTGGGTCTAAATATTGCTACGTAACCTCACCAACTTATCTCAGATGCTGTGATTTATGAAGCATTACAAATCACTTCACAGTTGACTGCATGAGCTAGAACACGTTCGGAGAAAAAGTACCTACAGCAGTCATTCAATGTAAGAGAGTTTTTTTACAGACAGCTCTTAATGTACTAATTAGTTTCACGGGGAGAGGACACTCACAGGTAACTAACTCTTAACAGCATACGAACCATGACAAAGGCAGTGCAATTCCAGTTGTGACTTGACCAGTTTCAGTTGACCAGTCAACTGAAACTCCTTTGGGTAGCAACTTGCTCTAATTTAAATACATACACCCCTTGCACTTCTCACACACTGCTTTCCTTATCTAGTCAAACGTGCAGTATAGGGTCGTGCAGACTTCCCTGGGATTCCTGTTTTGTGTTTAATCTCAGCCACTGCCATTTGCGCTTCCCAGCCCAGGCCCCAGCAGACTGTTCACTAAGAAGACACTTGGATTCAACTGGCAAGTATATGGGATTAGCTGCCTGATTAAAATATACGTGAGACACTTACATATTACTCTGGGATGCTCTACCACAACTTTAGGTAGATAAATCCGAGAATAACTCGAGGAAAAGATGCAAAAGGTAAAAGTGCACAAACTGCCCCGGCTGGAGTGCTGTACCCAGCAGGAGCGCCCACCTTCACAGCAGTGGCCACGCACAGGCAGCGCCGGCTCCGGGTCCGGTGATGCCAACGCAACAGTTCCCCAGGTGGGCTGAACTGCGGCTAATGGTTGTATCTTACGGACTCTTTAACAAAATTAATTTAAATTCTGATCCTCTTATTCATGAAGATGAAAGTATAATGCTCAAGCCTTTTCTTGCTGGAGAGGTTATCACTAGGGGATCATCTAAGTTGTCATGCAAACCAGGACACTTGAAAGGGGAGAGCTGTTAGTAATCACACTGGAACAACAGGTAAAAACCAGGATTGCTCAAAGCAAATTGGGGTGTATGATCATCCTTCTTTTATTGGGGAGTTTCCTGTAGAGCAGGTAAAATGATCAGTGTGTGGATATAAATATGCATACATGTTTATATATACAGTCTTAAAGTCAGGTGGGAAGTCTGAAAGAGAAAGCTAAAGAAAAAAATGGGAAGAACTGAAGAAAAAGAGTGAAAAGGAATGGCATCAGTGAACATGGAAACAATGAGGACTATTCTAGAAGATGAACAACATCTCTAGAAAATGGAATCCCACAGTCTCCAGGCTGTGGACATAACGAGACCGCCATGACACTCTCTGGTGCCACCTCTCTTGTGTGCAAAGGCAGGTAGTGGTCCTAAGAGACAATCCAGAATGTGGGGAGCCTGGGTTCGAGGCAAGAGCAGGCTGGACTCACTCTGGGCACTGAAGAAAAGGGGGTGTGGGGCTCCTGATACACAGGGGTGGGAGGCAGGTCTGAATACAGTCCTCAAAG